CTGGCTTTCTGCTTATGGAATATACAGAATTATTACTGATGAAGCAACAATAATGTACAGTACATGGTATTTTATAGAGTAGGACAGCCAAAAGTAGGAAGCCCTCCTCCCCACCTGAGGGTGGAACTTCCAGATCAGAAATGTGATGATGGGAAGAGAAAGAAGATAGAATGCATCAGAAGTAAAGATAACAGGGTATCTGTGAACCTGTGTGTAGTACTAGTAAATGCAATAATATGTCTAATGATCATTAATTGTTGGGAAGGAGAAATTAGCTGACGAAGTGAATAGGAGCAGGTCAAAATATCAATCGTATTTACTTATATAAAAGATAATTTGCACATGGTTCCAGTAGATGGAAACTGCTTTTTAATGGTTTAGGCATAGGAACTATGATTTTTATATAAATACAGAAGTCTCATTTGTCCCCCCCCCCCCCAAATATCATCTCTTGTATCTTCCTTGGTTGGGTGAAGATCAATATGATTTTCCTCAGCCATGTGGAGTCTGTATTTTCACAGGCATAATATATGCTACAACTATAGCACAAAACAAGCAGGTTTTACCTTATGCAGATCTTTCTGTACATGAGCAAGCAGGGGTGAAAACAGTGGATTTTATGGAAAAACTTGAGTTTGAGGTCTCCAAATATGTCCATTGTCAGTGCCTAACTTCCACTAGGTGGTGCCTATTCTTCAAATATCCCGAGGGTGATTAGTAAAATAAGCAAAACATTTTTTACTGAATTATTTTATTGTTGTAGGTAGGGCATTTAAAAACTTTAAAAACTGGGCAGACAATTAAGGTGGGATTATTTTGAGTTTCTTTCTCACCTCCTTCCCAGGGTTATGATTATGATTACATAACCATTTTTGCATTCCTTCAAATTTGTATCCATACTCTCCTAATCTCTCCACGCTTCTTTTTTTACCAACAAACTTTTATTGATTTTTCAACTAACCCCCCCCCCCAAAGTCTTAATACAAATATGGTATACATTAGTGAAAAAATCATATTAATACAGACATAAAAATTTCAGAGCAGCTCGGCAGCCCCTCCCCCTGCATCCACCCTCTCTTTCACCCTTCCTACCTACTTCCCTCCTCCCCTCCTATCCTCCTACCTACACCTCTCTCCTCTCTTTCAACCACCCCACACATCCCACCTCCTTCCTTTCCTCTTCCTTCGAATGCAGTTTGGGGGTACTGGCCGAGCATCTCCTTTTCATAAAACTTTACATTATTTCTCTACAAAATTTTAATACACCAACTTTTACATATAAGCGAAACATTTTGTCCTTTAAGCATCCCAACCCCCAAATGCTATTCTGACCTTGCTGGTAAGATAGGAACAGGCTATTTGACATTGGATCTCTTCTTATATCATTGGGACAACAAATGTTAGGACTGGGACATTTTGATAATGAAACTGTTTGCACATCTTTAGAGATTGGCCAATTGCTATGAAGCGCAGGGCTGAGATGCCCTTCCCTTGACTGGCAGGGTGTGATTGTTGGAGGAGAGGAGACTTAACTGTCTTGTCTTGTTTTCTTTTCATTTTTTCCTGCATTTCCTCCCTACTCCCGAAGGACCCGATATATCAGCACAGAGCTGGGTATGCGGCAGCGTCTCTTTGTGGGTGTGCTGACCTCAAAGAACACATTGAACTCGCTGGCAGTGGCAGTGAATCGAACACTAGGCCACCGGCTGGAGCGCCTGATCTACTTCACGGGCACCCGGGGGCGCAAGGTGCCCCATGGCATGACGGTGGTGACGCATGGAGATGAGAGGCCCATATGGAACATGTACCAGACTGTCAAATACATGATAGACCATTACCTGTCAGACTTTGATTGGGTGTTCCTGGTGCAGGATGATACATACGTCGAAGCCCATCGGGTGAACCACCTGGCCTCTCATCTCAGCATCGACACTCTGCTCTACATGGGCCGACCAGAGGAGTTCATTGGTGGGGACACTCAGGGGCACTACTGCTACGGTGGCTTCGGTTACCTGCTTTCCCGAGCTTTGCTCCTGCGTTTGCAGCCTCACTTGGAAAGCTGCCGGAACGATATCTTGAGTGCACGCCCCGATGAATGGCTGGGCCGCTGTATCATTGACTACACAGGAATAGACTGCGTGGCAGAGCAGGAGGTGAGGCTTTGTTTCCTCTGATGTGGCCACGTCTTGTTTCCTCCTTCTGTGGGGATAGCTTTGCTTGTGTGTGATATCTTCACAGTCACAAGTTTTGAGAAATGGAAAAGAGGGGAAACCCTTTGCTTTTACCACACGAGGATTCAAAGAGTAGAATTCTGATATGCGTGATATGCAGTTATCAGATATCTCCTATTCAAATTGTTATCTTAAAACCTCATTGGGCTTTCAGAATCAAAGAGACATCTATGAATCATTTTGAAACAGGACTCACTTTTGGTGGAACATGTTTCCTGTGGGGATCTTTTCACTGAGGGAATGCTACTTAACTATTGTTTTTGTAGCTCTAACTGCTATTTTACTATGGGCAAAACTTTTCTTTCTGGGTAAAAAGGAGGCAATATTCTGGTGCTGTCTTTCATTGTAAGGAGCCCTTGAGATTTAAAGTAATCAGTACATTTGCCCTTGTGTTTCCAGTCAGACTAAATTTTTAAAAAAGCACTTTTTAAAAATCGTTCAGTTCCATCCCATCTCCGGACCAAGGAGTCCAGTCCAAGAACAGGATGACTTGAAGAGTGGTGAAATAAGCAAAAAGCAAAGAACAAGAACAATTTGCCCACTGGATGTTTTTATTCAAAGATCAGGAGTGACTTGAGAGAATAGTATGTTGTGAAGTACGTTCTTGGTCATACCTGCCTTCCAACTGAAAGCTGAGCGTCTTCTTCAGCAGTTTTTTATTTTGCTAGCAAATCAGAAAGAGAGATGCTGGTTAGCCTCTGGGTATATTTGCTGGAAAGGCTGAAATTTCCAGACTGACGTGCTTCTTTCCCTCTTCTCTGCCAGGGCTTACGCTACCATTACTTTGAGCTTGGGAAGAACACAGACCCTGAAAAGGAGAGCGATCCACAATTCAATGCTGCATTCACTGTTCACCCAGTGCTGGACCCTCTTCAGATGTATCGGCTGCACAGGCACTTTGCTCGTGTAGAGCTGGAGCGCACTTATCAAGAGATCCAGCAGCTACAGGTAAGGTGGGCAGATTCCGAGATTCTGACCCAAAGTTCCCTTGACTTTTTTTTTTGACACGCCTGCTTTCATTCTGCTGCCACGTTAATTTTTCAGAAAAATCAGTCAGGTTGAGCAGTACCCATAAGTAAGGTGACCACCTTTTTTACAATGAGAAGGAGGACACAAATAAATTGAAGAAAAAAATATCGTAAATAAAACATTTTATTCATTGCAACAATACAGAATACACTATAATATGATAAATGCATAATAAAAAACATTTGTAACAATAACATTTTATATTGTAATTATGCTTACATACTTATTAATTATTGTTTAAATGAGTACAAAAGAAGGACTGTCCTCCCTAAAGTAGGACGATTGGTCATCTTACCATAAGAGAACATTCTTCTTTAACCTGGTGGACTTCAGCTCCTGGAATTCTTCATCCGTTGTGCCATTTTGTGGAATTCTGGGAATTAGAATTCCACACCTCTGAGGAATTGGTTGGGAAGAATTATAATCAAAGCTATTCATCCTCTCATATCTGTTAAGATAGAGTTAGATCAGCTGTCCTTTGGCCAGATCTCAGGTTCCCTTTGTTCCTTCTTCTAATAAGAAGAGGAAAAAGAGAAGACAGACGATGTTGGGATATTGAAAAAAGACGAGAGAAAATTAGTGCCATCCATTTCTTGGTCTGGTTTTGATTCTGGCTCTAATAATTATTGGCAATTCTGCCCTGTTTCCCAGCTACTGAAAATGTATCGTCTCTAATGTGGGCAGTATCAACCTGCTTTATTTTTTTGAACCCATAGAATGTTGGAAATAAATTATTTGAAGGGACTATCCATCTATCTGTTTGTCCGGTAGCAAAGTACAGGTAGTCCTTGATTAATTCCAACAATCGGGATCTCTTTAGTAGCCACAATTCTGGCAATGTGATAGCATAGTGATGGCAATTCTGGCACTCCCCGTTGCCATTGTTTGGCAAATTACCCGCAGGTCATTAAGTGAGGGCATCACGTGGTCTCTCTTTGCAACCTCCTGCTGGCTTCGCCACTGATTTTCCTTGTCAGAACCAACAAAGAAAGTTGCAAACGGTGATCATGTGATGCGGGAATGCTGTAACAGCTGGAATTCTGAGGACCTGTTATAAAGTATCCCATGTTCAGTGCCATCGTCCATTTGAATGGTCACTGAACAAGGGGTTGTTAAGCCGGAGCCACCTTTAATTCTTCACAAACTGAACAAAAGAGGACCAAATTTGACATGTTAAAGAAACACTTGAGTTTGAAAATGATCTGGATCAGGCTAGGGAGAAGGGAAATGGGTCCTTGTGGGAGAGGCAGTTAGGCGCCTGCTCAGAATGTTGCCTTCGGGTCTGGTCTGAACCCGCTTTCCTCCTGTCTCCGCATCTAGAGTGAAGCTGCTATGAAAGGGCTGGAAAGAATTCCAGAAGGCACATTTGACGAGCTTGTTCTTTCTAAACAGAGAAATGTTGACATCTATATTTTCCTCTCTGCTGTTTAGCCTTCCTTATCCCGTGCTGCATTCTCAACTCATTAAGCAGTACAGTTAAGAGATTATTTTAGTCTTGAATGGCAGATCGGTAAATTGATCTCTATGACCACCCGAGCTCTGAATTCTGAATGGTTGCTTTTTCCCTACCAATCGGCTGTACGGGAGAAAGGGTCAGTTTACTTGGAGTTTACTTGGCTTCATCTTTCTCCTGGCCACTGTTTCTTGTAAAAGCCTTCCTTCTCTGCAAATCCTTTTCTTCTACTCAAATTACATTTGATATGCTAACTAAATAACAGAGGTCTTCTAGTCCATTGGTCCATAACCTTTCTGGATTGGCAGCCCGGCAGGGGGGAGGGGATGGTTCTGTGTGAATGGCAGGCATTTGCAGAAGAGGAGCTGCACGCACGCTCAACAACCACTTGCACAGCTGAGTTCCAAATGGGCCATGACCAGGAGTTGGGAGCCCCTGTTCTAGTCTAACCCCCTGTTCAAGCAGGAGACCCTATACCATTTCAGACAAATGGTTATTCAATCTCTTCTTGAAAACTTCTAGTCATGGATTGCCCACAACTTCTGGAAGCAAGTCATTCCACTGATTAATTGTTCTAACTGTCAGGAAATTTCTCCTTAGTTCTGGATTGGTTTCTCTCCTCAATTAATTTCCGTCCATTGCTTCTTGTCCTGCCCTCAGGTGCTTTGGATGCCTCTTCTTTGTGGCAACCCCTGAGATATTGGAACACTGCTATCATGTCCTCCCTCGTCCTTCTCTTCATTAAACTTAGACATACCCAATTCCAGCAACCGTTCTTCATATGTTTTAGCCTCCAGTCCCCTAATCGTCTTTGTTGCTCTTTTCTGAACTTTTTCTAGAGTCTCATATTTAGGGGGAAAGTTATTATTGTTGACTTGCAGGGATAAATGAGTAGGCAGAAGATGGCTTGACCTTCCTCCCTCTGCCCCCACTATGTAGACACATAGTGAATCAACAACTTTGGTCGCTGATGGACCAACAACATGCATGTTTTCAGTTGATGTTGGCTTCTGAAAGTTTAAATGTATTTGCTGACATTTCATTAAGGGACACGTTAGTTCTTTTAAAAATATGGAAATTAAAACAAAAGTGTCCTAGAATTTCCCCCCATAATTATTTGTCCCATTGAGTCTTACTGTGCATTCTTATAGCAGTTTCCTTATTACAAATTAGGCAAAAGAAGAAGGTAGAAGTTAGCTTTGCTTCAGGAAATCTGCCAGATGAGTCCAGACAGGAGTCTGCTGTTTCTACTTTGACTGCTGAGCCCAGCGCTGGCTACTAAAATTAATCTTGACTCATAGTCTGCAATTGTGAATTCTAGAAGCAAAGAAGTTTTTGGCCTGACTTGGGCCTTCATAACTCTGCTATTAATCTTTTAGTTTGTGTAAAACCAGCAAAATATTCTGGCGGGCAAAATATGGAATCAAGACATTGTCAGTTGTAATACATCATATTTTATTTAATATTAAACTAATATTTTTTTGCTATTATAGGTTTTCTTTCTATTGCTGTGAATTAATATAGGAGACTGCTGCCTTAAAAATAGAGTAAGAGGAAGAAAGAAAGCATAACCTTTTAGGGAGGTTGTTTTCAGTGGGGAATGGAAAGAGAGCCTGCTGCTTGGATGAATTAAGTCTTTCAAAACTCCTTGTGAAGGAAGCATGGCTGGCATTCGGTTGTCACCAAGATAAGGTGTAATCTCTGACCATTGGTTGGTATCTGTGTAGATAAACTATTGGGGACAGATTGTTTTACTCTAAATAGTCAAAGGGCCTGAAGACTAAATCATAGGAGAAGCCAGGTATGTCTAGCCTATGGAAGAGGAGGATTAGAAGGATTAGGGGGAGGTGATAAGTATCTTCTAGTTCTTGTGGAGCTGTGACAAAGAAGAGAGAATGGACTTATTCTTATTCTACAGGGCATAAGAGGGCATAAGTAATGGATAGAAGCTTGTCAAAGAGAGATCCAACTTAGGAGACATTTTCTGACAGGGAGACCAATTAATCAATGAAATAGCTTGCCTCCTGGGGTTGTGGATGGCCCATCACTTGACGTTTTCAAGAGTAGAGTGGACAACCATTTCATTGGGATGGTACAAGTCTCCTGCCTTGAGCAGAGGGGCGGATTAGAAGACGTCCCTTCCAGCCTGTGATTCTATACTTTATTGTGTCTGATCCTAACTAAATGAATGCTACATTGAATAATTAGAATATATTAATTGGGCAGTTAACCAAAATCCAAACGCTATGATGTTTTCCCTGAATTCCGAAAAATATTTTTCCAAAGGGTAATAAATGCCATCGTAAACTCCCTCTGGTAAGTGTTGTGCTAATTTCACTCCTAACCTGGTGGCAGAGTAAGATATAATTCATGGGTCCTTCTCCTTCTGTTTTAGATCTGGATCTCTTTCAAGTAGAAGGGGAGGGGAGGTTGAAGCATTAAAGGATCTTGAAGTTCTGGTGCTAATGTTGCATCTAGTCTGTTCGGGGAGTTTTTATGTCTAGACCAACTATTTGACAGAAATGTACACCCTGAGGGTTGTATAATAACACAAGCAAACACGTTGTGCAAGCTTTGATGGCAGAGCTGAGCCTCGGGCCAGATTAAATTGGAATTATTTTTGAGGAATCACTAATTTGACACGTGCATGCCATCGTAATAAGCATTCAGTAGCTAATGTGGCATAAATTAAATGCAA